CCATCAATATTCCAACACATTTGTTTATAGATATTGCAAGAACAATACTCAACTTTATGTGAAAAAACATGAACCCTAGGTTAGCTCAAACAATAATGTACAACATAGGAATTTCTTAATTTCAAGATCTACTACAGAGCTATAGTAATAAAACAGCATGGTGTTGACATGAAAACAGACAAGTGCATCAATGGAATTGAATCAAAGACCAAAGCCCCAGGGACTTGTTCTTAATGCTTAGCAGAAACTTCATTCTCCTTTTTACAATTATTATACTAATATTCTTTCTGTGCAAAAATTTCCATTTCTTAATGTCCTCATCTTGCTTGTCTTCCTTTTTGTTTACATTTTTTAAGTTGTAGTTATTTTTTTCTCTTCTATTTTTCCTTGTTTTCCTTTTGAAGTGAAATGATATCTTAATTTAGATTGATGTATATTTCTATAATGACCAATGATGCTGTGTATTATTTTGTATATCTCTTGGCCAATTGTGTATCTTCTTTGAAAGATACCAGTTTTACTATATAGATCGTGTTTTGAATGAGATTATTTGCATGTTTTATTTCAGAGGAGTTGTTAATCTACTTTACTAATTACCTTTTTGTACACCCTTTATAATATAGATATCCAATCCCTTCAGATTTAAATGTGAATATATTTAAGTATTACAACCCTATTTCTTGAGAAATATATTTTTGGATTGTCAAGCCCAAATTTTAATCAAAACATACTTTTAAAACATAATGAATATTAAGGACCCTATATGTAATAGGGAATACAGAATACCTTTGCTCCTGTGGATCTTAGGACCTCAGTTAAGAAACATAAACCAACAACGCACCCCCAATTCTTTTTTTATTCCCACCTTTCCAAGCTCCAGCTCAACATTAACCGTCCCCTTTCTTGAACATTACCTAGCTCTCATGAACTTCTATGCATGTAGAACTGCTTTCAAAGTGTCCCATAGTTGAACTATGTAATGATTTTTAAATAGATGTCATAGTATAGGGAAGCAGAAACTGCTAAAACAAAGGATAACTTACCTTTAATTGGAGATTTCTTACTGGGCATTAAAACAGTGGTTTTTCTTTTAAAAAGTTTTTCTTCATATAATAAAGGAAAAATATTAATTTATTGAGAAGTCCATTAAATGCCAAAATACTAGAAATCACAAAGTCTCCTCCAAATAGTGATGAAACTAATTGTATGGTCATAAAGACTTTATTTGAGAAGTGAATATAGTTTTCTTTTGACTGCCTAAAGCCTCAGTTGATGAAATGAGTTTTATCTGAAACAGACTTTCAATGAAGAAGAGGTTTTTCTTAATCTGTACCCTATACAAAGCATGATGAGACGTGGAGTGATGATAGAATTCAGAATGATTTGGGTGAAGGAGATATCCAGTTATCTTGAATAGGTGGATCATTGCCTGAATTAGAATAAATCAATGTGTGATAAATCAATGGTTTGTGAGGATTTAGAAATCCAGTATCATATGTTTGGTTTAGAAAGAAAAGGATATCAAAGGAAAAAAAAATAGTGAGTTAAAGCATATTTATCATTATCTTGGGAATGTTTACAGTGTGGAATGAATGATGGTTTAAATTCTGAAGCTGAATAACAGAGAACATGATAGTGATTGGCACTACAAAAGCAGCAATATTCCAAAAGAAAATGAATAAGAGGTTTCAGAATGACCAACAGAGTTTGGAAGTGAGCTCATGGAATTGATATAACGTGGAAAATCAACATCAGATACTTACAAAAGAGTCTGAGATGAGAACAGAGTAGAGAGTTTAAGAGAGGGGCATGGATGAAGTAATGCAAGAGAAAGACAAGGAAATTCAGGAAGAAAATAAATTAAATATGGCAGGGGAAAAATTCAACTTCAACTTACTCTTTGTTGGTCAAGTATCGTGTGTGTGTGTGTGTGTGTGTGTGTGTGTGTGTGTGTGTGTATGCGCGCACGCGCATGTGTAGAAGGAAAATAGTATCAAGAAAATTAGAAGTCAATAAACAACTCAAAGAAAAAGAAATTAGAGAGCAAGTGCTTATTACAGATCAAGGAGAACAGAAGAAAATAATGTGCAGAAAGACCCCAGTACCAAACATTTCAAGTAAAATGTCAAAAGCAACAAGAAAAACAACAAAGCAAACCAACCAATCCACAACAACAATGGAAACACTAGACTCAGAATTTAGTAATTACAGTACAGTACAGTAGTGATCTTATCAAGTATGACATATTTTTCTTTTGAATTAACAGTTTGTTGGGTACCTATGCACTGGTGCTAAATTGATATTTGGATAATGGATGAGGTTTCACTAGAAGTGTATTTGTAAAAGATTGCAGATTTAATTTGTATCATAGAAACAAAAATAAAAATATCAACCAGAAGGAATTAGATTATTCTAATTATAAATACTGACATTTTGGGGACTGTCAAAGATCATCTAAGTGTGGGGGCAAATAGAAAGGTATGTGAACATAAAAGGAAATGGCTTATTGAATTTTTTCAAAACAAAACATCATTAATGATATTGGTGAGGCTAATTTCAGTATACCGTTGAGAATGTAGTAAGCAGATTAATATGAATTAAAGATAATATTTCACTAAGTATATTCTTATGAAGTATAATTAACAATGTTAAATAAAGATTTTTCATCATCAATTATGAATCTAAATAAAAATGTTCTGCATGTACTGGAGAATTATTACCATTGTATAGTTGCCTTTAGAATATTGGCTTCATACAATTAAAAATTCATAGAGAAACTTAGAGTTTGTTTCCATTTATAATTTAAAGTCACATTGTTTAAATTTATAAATATATATATTTAATTATATATATTTAGATTATTGTCTGATTACATTGTATATAGTTACATATAGTATTGTGACGCTTATATTTCTGTTGAAGTACATTTATGTCTTTTTGTAAGATTACAGTTTCACCTGATTTTGATATTTTTGTCTTTAACGCAATTTTCTTTCCTTTCTGTTCTTCAATCAATGTAATCTAGATAAGTTTTTGCAAGAGGATAATACTTTTTATTGCACACACAAATGTGATCTGATTGTGTGTAACGGAGTGAAAGGCTTTTCTTAACATGTGTTTGGTATCTAAGTGATATTTCATTAACATCTATTGAATTCATAACAGGTGGCAGCCAGGCAGGAAATTCTGCATACACAATGAACACCAAGCACAGCCAAATGAAATGAAAGGTAGATGGATACTACAGTTTGAATTGAAAAGAATTATTAATTCATGAAGTGACTTTTCTGTGTTAATTCTGTGATTGCCCACAGTACAGTGATGAGAGAGATTCTGACATGATCATTGCCCCCGAGGTCCTTACTGTCAGGCAAGGAGTCTGGGAAAGATAAACCCATTCCCCAAATAAATGTAAAACTGATTCTATGAAACAGAAGCATAGCTCATTTGGAAGGATTTTTCCAACAGGAGGAAACAAACAGAATTACTTGTGGAGAGGTAAGGAGTGTTGGCATCCAAGAAATAGATGGAATTATAAGCAGAGAGGTACATAGAGTGTGGAAAGAGTAATTTAGGGTATGAGAGGATGAGATAAATAGAAACACAGTGTGTTTATTTGTTAAAGCAACACTAATTATTCACGGGACTAGCATGGAAATGGAGTGAGCCAATTTCATATTTAAAACACAGTATGTTCCCAGCTGTGGTGGCACATACCTATAGTGAAACCCTGATCAGGAAGATTGTTCCAGGCTGGCTTGGGTTTTATAGCTAGACTCTCTCAGATAGATAGAATGAATAGATAGGTTAGCTAGATTGATAGATAATAAGCAGTAGGTAGATAATATTTATATGTAAGGGATTAAAAACATGGAAAATATCAACTTTTTAAGGTGATAGACATTCAGTTAGCTTGTTTGCATCTTTACGTCATAGTGTGTAGGTCTAAGAAAACAAACCATTTTATTCCTTAGAAACATAATTTTATTTCTTAACTACATGTCACTAATGCTGAAAAAAATGCTCAAAATGTTGTCCTACTTGCTTCCATACATCCTGCATCTCTGCTACATACGTTTAGGAATTTGTCAGCTGAGTGTTTACTCACCATATTATAATTAAAAATAAATGAAATAGGATAATATGAAATGGGACCTGTTTAAATGCCAACAAAAGAGCTACCTGAAGGAGACTCTGAATATGGGCATGAAAAGTTTTAGTAAAGTTTGAGACGTGGTTTTGAAGAATAAAGCATTTGTTTAAGAGGAAGACATGCCAAGTATGTTTTAGGACATGTTAAGATTTCAATATCTGTGAAACATCAAAAGCAGATGTTAAGTCAAATTTGGGGGTAGTAGAAGACAAGTATCTGGAAATGAAGGAGTTTCTGAAATAATGAGATGGGTGGAGCAACAGAGCTTGCAATAAATATTCGGAAGCACAAAATGCCACCTGAATAACTTTACAAAGTGAGGTTACCAGTGGAATTAGAGTCTCAGGTGAATTCCTAAGGTATTCTGATCACTCCTGACTTAGAGCTGTCAGCAAATATTTATGGATATCAGCATACTGATCTGAAAAAGATTTTTCTTCTCTAATTTGCTATAAAACCAGCTTTGCATTTGTTGGCTCTTACTCAGAAGCCCCTTTTATAACAGTTCTTCCTGTTTAAGTCTACACAGACTGCCATATTTGTTGATAAAGTCGATTATTAAGTGTACTGTTCAGAACTTTGCATGAAAATTTGCATAACTACCTCCAGAAGTAGGCCTTCCTCCCCTAGGAAGCAAATATGCAAAGAAAATTTTATGTATTTTCCTTGTTGCCTGTTTGTTTTTACCTCTAGGCATATTCCTATATTATGCTTAAGTGTGGTGTTTCTTTTTACATTGAGGACATGTTCTGCTAATAATATGTTTTAATGCATTACTGTGCTATGTGTCAATTCATTCCTTCTGGTTATCACTAGTATTTGCTAATAGCCTCGTCTCCCTTTTCAGGGTGAAACCAAGATCTTAAAGCTGAAAAATCTTCGACCTCAGGACTATGCTAACTACAGCTGCATTGCTTCAGTGAGGAACGTGTGTAATATTCCAGACAAGATGGTGTCATTTAGACTTTCCAATAAAACAGGTACAGATCTGTCAGTGTATTTTATATGTGTGTTTTCTGCAAGTAGTTTTTAGAAACCCTTTTAGCCTTCTTCTGGCTAGTTGATGGGTATAGGTGAAGAGAGTCATCTTTTATTTTCCCAGAAATATTTGGCATCCTCTAAACAAGGAGAAATTACAGAAAAAAAAAAACTATGTGGTGTTACTATCTGTGTAATATAGAAAATTCTAGTGTATTAAAATATTATAGTCATGAATTTAAAAATTATCCTACATGCCACTTAAAGAGAATGTTGAAGAGTATTAGATCCTTCATATAAAACTTATCACCTAATTTGCTGAAAATGTCTTATGGTTACAAAGCTAAATAAAACTCTTTTGTATGCTATTTTTTTTTTGAAATTTTTTACTTTAAATTTGAAACAAGCTTATTTTACATGTTAACCCCAGTTCCCTAAACCTCCCTTCCTCCTCTGTCTCCCCAAACCCATCCCATGTCCTTTCTTTTCCCCAGGGAGGGTGAAGCCTTTTCTGAGGTACCTTCAAATTCTGTCATATCATTTGGAGCAGAGCCTAGGCCAAACCAGGGGCAGGAGGAAATCCTTACTCTTTACAGACAGATGTTACTTTGATTTCTATTTTTTAATTTCTATAGGTAGCATATGAGGCATTGCTATTAATGTGTTATTTTTAAACAACGTATGTTTTAGTGATTCGCATTATCCTTAATCTAGTTCTTATATTTTTAAAGATATTGATTCATTACTGTTTGTGCATGAGAGTGATAGTATGACTACATGTGTGCATTGCACATGTAGAAGACAGAGGACAGCTTTTGGGTGTCTGTTCTGACCTTCTACCTTGTTTTAGGGCATAGTCTCTTGTTTCTGCCATTGAAAATGTGAGTTTCTGGCTGATTATTCAATCTCCTCTTTCTGTCTTATCATAAGATTGCTAGGATTACATAAGCATTCCAAGAGATGTTGCGTTCTGTGTGTGTTCAAGTGCTGAACTCTGGCTATCAGGCTTTTGAGGCAAGTGTGGTGACTTGCAAAACCATATCCCTAACCCTTAACTCTCTCTCTTCTCTCTCTGTCTCTCTGTCTCTGTTCTTCTTTCTCTCTTTGTGTGTGTGTTTAAGAGAGAGAGAGGGGGGTGAGGGAGAGAGAGAGAGAACTGAGATGATCCATGGTGGAAAACCAAACAAAATGGAACTCCAATGCACAGTTGAGTGAAAAAGAATAACGTTGTATGGTATCATCTATTTTTGGCCTTGCATGTAGACAGTGCTTCCTTAGTTCTTAATGCCCTCTGATAGCCCATTTGTGGCTTTTTATCTGTTTGTTGGTTTGTTTGTGTCTTTTCCTGTTTGGCATGTAGCAAATTGGCTTATACTGATTAAAATAGTCACAAGTAAAATAATCTGAGACTGGACTAAATCAATGGACACAAACCATTTAAAGACCAAAACTTCAAAAAATTAAACTCAAAATATTATGTTGCAGAAGTCTGTAGTTTTGCTATTTCACAACTCATGGGTTGGGGAATACTGACCTACTCTTATGTTTGAAAAGTTATTTAGACTGGAGAGTGATCAGCAATTTGGTTTTCTTGGAGTTACTGAAAAGAAATTCAAGCTGAAGCCAGTGTTTTATTAGCTACAAATAAAGATGTCTTACTTCATTAGCTACATTAGAATGGAAAGTGACAGAGTTCCTAAATCCTTTGAAGCAGCTGGCTTTTGGGGACTGATTACTGGGGTGACTTTTAATAAGAAGAGTAATGGCCACCACTTTTACATGGGGCATGGTTGTGCCATACTACAAGTGTTCTGCTGAAACTTTCAACATTCTGTTGTCCCCACACTAATGTATATGATTAATCAAAAACAAATTATATTCTTCTTCTTTATAAGTTGTTTAGGTAAATAATCTTATATTGGTGTTTATTAAAAAAATGAGTATTGACACTGTGGAAAATAATTGGGATTATGGTACTTAAGTCTTCCAACAACTACATTGTTAGCCTAATCTTTGTAACAATCAGATCATTCAGATGTGCTTTGCTTTCTTTCCCATCTGGTTGTGCTCAGAGTTGGGAAGGATTGTACATTTCAGATAGTTAAATCATAGTAGATACTCAAATGCACGAGCAGTTATTTCGGCATGCAAGCATGTCTATAAAACAATAGGTGCCTAGCAGTCCCATCTATTGTTTGTCTTACATGAAAAAGAAGCATGAAAACCAAGGACATAATCAATGTGACATTATATGTTATATCAGAAACAAGGGTACACACAAAATCTTAAACCTCTGTTTTGCACATGTGTTACGGAAAACATGTACACTATACAAAGGTAAAAAAGTATATTGTGAATATTGCAATAGGTTTGGTTATTGTCCTCTGCAACAAATAAGTTTATAAAATGGAAATTTGGAGAATGTAGTCCTGGTAGAGGACAAATAATAGACAAGTGCAAGTTTACTGTGAGCAATGAAAATCTCTGTGTTCATTTAACCAAGCAATCAAAAGAACTTTAGGCACAATGTTCAAATGACACATGAGTTGATATAGAAACAACAGCTTCAATAATTGATTTTCAAAGTACTTATACCACAACAGTTTCACCATGAGTAGATTGCTGAGTCCATTGTATACTTGCTGAGGCAGGATTTTGATGTGAGACCTAGGAAAATAGATATTGAAATAAGTGTATGGTTTTGTTGGATAACAAGATAATGTCTATGTTACCATAGCACTTCAGTGAACTCATTCCACTCAGTTCATATGAGCTTTTGATGAAGAAATCAAGTTTCTAGTACAGTGTCCAGGAATCATTTTACATGTCAGAATCGCCTACATATTAACCACCAATGAGTTTTTTCTTTGCTTTCTCAGCATGAATTGACAATGTAATTTAGTTCTATATCAAGTTAAGAAAAATATTTGCTTCTTTTCATCCTCATTGATGTCATACTATAAAAATGAGTCTTGTAGAAGTATATTTATTCTAATTTTCCTTACCCTGTTATGACCATTTATAGCACTTTATAAACAAATTATAAAGTAACGTGTTTACTTATTCCTGTCACTTACACTGACCAAGTGACACAGTCCTGTGCCTGAGTCCAGAGACGGATGTTTTATTTTATTTTGAAGAAACATTGCATTAGTTCTTTTCTAGTAAACTATTGGTGTAGTTTTATTTCTCATAGTTGATTAAACTAAGTTCATTTAGATTTGTAAATTTATAATCTCAATTAAATATATGTGTATTTTGAAATGATCATAATTATGGTAACTAAGAAATTATTTAAAATATGTAAATACAACATAAGGGTACATAGGAATCATGATAAATTTTTCATTTATTTTAATGTATTTTCAAGCACTTGTAAGTTGATGCCTCATGATTTCAATGGCAAATAAAAATTAAGTAGGTTATCTATATTAGGATGAAAAAACATGTGTTGTACCTGCCTGAGAGGTGATGATGAAGCCTATAAAGAAACAAGACAGGTGGGGCTAATTTTACTTAATTATATAGATCCCTTGATTTAGTCTACACAGCCTTAGCATTTATAAAAATTACCTAATTAAGGTGCCTTCCTTAAATATGGATTACATCCAGAAAGGAATGTATTACAAAAGTGGCTCTGAGTAAGCAAGTAGTGAATTCCCATACCTCCATTCTCTCACTCATGCTTTCTCCTTCTACTCCTCCCTCACCTCCTTCTTCCTTGTGCCTCCTTACCCACCTCCTTACATCTTTCCTTCTTATTTCTCTCTTCTCTGTCTCATACTCTTCACCCTGCCTTCATCAATTTTCACAGAAGAAACAGAATTTTAAAATGCTCTCTTGCATTTGTTTTCTGCTATTATTACTATTTAATGTAACTAAATGGTGTAAACCACAGTCATCCACTGCTGTTAACTACACTATAAAACTTCCCATGTTCTGCTCTTTTCATGATGGTCTCCTTTGATTAGAAGAATGCAGCCTATATGTTATCAGAAACAAAATATCATTTAGCTGTAGCAATTTGGTAGCCAGTTATAAAAAACAAAGTATATAAACATTTCTTTGTATAATATGCACATTACTGAGATGCCAATTCAACGTCAAGAGAAAAGAGTATTGGGAATTTTGCTCTTACAAGTAAACACTGACCTTACCACTGTTCTTAGGCTAATTGTTTTTGTTTGTTTGTTTGTTTGTTTAGTTTAGTTTTGTTTTCTAACTTACTGTATTCATCTGCCCATCACAGAGTCTAAGTGGTAATTATTGCTGATTAGAATGTAGGCATATTAACTTACCAATAATCATTTTTATTAGATAGATGGGTTTTGTGAGATGGACTTAAAGCAGATGTAATGATGACCTGTACCAGCCTACATTAGTGCATTGCCACAGACCAGAAGGCACAAATAACAGAAATGCATAATCTCATGCTTCTAGAAGCTACAATTGCAGGATCAAAGTGACTCAACTGTTGATTTCTCTTGGGAGCTGTCTTCCTGAGTTGTCATGGCTTCTCCCTCACTAGGTAGTTACATGACTTTTCCTCTGTGCTACATGGAATGAAAGACCTGTACCCTTCTTATTCATGTAAAGATATTCTTCCTTAGATCAGAGTCACACTTACTATATATTAGCTAACTTTTAATTCATTCCTATTGGTTCATTTCAAAATAGAATTCTTTTGTGATTCTTTTTCATTTAAAAATATTTTCATTTTATATAACAACTCCAGTTTTCCCTCCTTCTCCTTCTACTATCCTACCTCCCACCCTTCCCACCTCCCTTTCCTCTCCTCAGAGAGGCTAAGGACTTACTTGGGGAGTCAACAAAGTGTGCCAAACCAAGTTGAGGCAGGGCAAAGCCTCCCCTACTGTATCATGGCTAAGCAAGGTGTGCTACCATAGGGAGTGGCCTCCAAAAAAGCTAGTTCATGCCTCTGAGATAGGTCTTGATGACACTGCCAACACTGCTCCCACCAGATCAATCAATATTCTCATTC